CCCTCCTAAACGCACACCGTAATCGTAATCGTAATGTGTAGAGACTGCCGCAAACTTGTAGTCAGTGGTAGATCAAACAGCGCAGGAGACAGAAGTGGAAACATTATACTTTGGAGTTCCTGCTCTGCTTTGTAAATTCAAAAGTAAGGCATGTGGGAGAGGGATAGTTAAAATATTTACAAACTTTAAGCTGTCTTGGAACTTTCGTTTTGTTTTTTTTCCCATAATGGGGATAGAACTCAGGACCTTGCGTTTGCTGCTGAGCTATGTCCCCGGCCCCTGTCTTGGTACTTTTGCCAATGCAGACAGACTTTTTTTTAAAAAAAGAACTTTATAAAGGGGAATTGGATGGAACTTTTATGGGTAAAGTGCTGAGTGAATTCTAAGATACAGTCTGAGATAGTCCTCTCATTTCCAAGGCACAGGCGTCTGCCTTCAGTGTGATTTATTTTAGGATTATCTGGAGTGGGGATGGTTTATCTCCATGGACTCTTGATTTAGGGGAAAGCAAAGCTACTTGGCTCAGGCAGCATCTGATGGCAAGGCCTACTCGTTCTGTTGGGGGTCGCTGGGTGTCATTTGCACCAGTAGCTGAGTACATGCAGAAGCAGCTGCTGGACTCTCTGCCATGAGTAAGGTCTGGAAATGCGGTAGGTCTTTGCTTTTATGAAAGAATAGGTTACTCCCAGCAAAACAAGAAGACATTCTAGGTGGTTGTCAGGGTGGAGCAGGGGTGGCCCAATTCCCTGAGCGGGGGCTGGGTGCAGAGCAGCATGGGAAGGGAGTGCAAGGAAGACAGCGAGTTCCTACTGCTGCCCTCAATGCTGGAGGATTTCACTTTCACCTAATTGGCATGCAGGAAGCTTCAGAGACAGGCTGAAGCCCCCGGAAATACTGGCTAGTGTGCAGCCTCCAGTAAGCTAAGATGTGTGGTGCTTTGGGTGGACTAAATAAATGCATGTCGGATTTGTGATAGTTTTTATTTATGATGAGTTTATTGGATTATAACCCCAATGTAAGTCAAGGCCCAGCCTATGACAGTTTGTATATGAATGGAGCCTTTTCCTGAAACATGGCCTGCTCCTTTTAGACCATAAAAAGGCCTGCTCCTTTTAGACCATTTTTCAATATTCTACTATTCTGAATGGAAATCACTCATTTGTTTTTTGCCTTTCATAATATAGAACTTTCTGTTCATCTAATCCTTATAAACATTCAACTTAATGGCCAATATTCAAATTCCTGTGGCTGCTCTTACAGATTACCACAAAGCTGGTGGCCAAAGAATAACAGAAATTTATTTGAGCCTTCTGGATGTCAGAAGTCCGAAGTCACTGTCACTGGGCTGCAGCGGTGGGCGTGGCGGGCCTGGCTGTGCACCAACGCTGCCGCCGGGCAGAGCCTGCTCCCCACCTGCCTGTTTCCGGTGGGCTGCATGCCATCGCCTGTGCCCATACTTGCTCCTCTCTGTCTGCCTCAAGTACCCTCTGCCTCCCTGATAAGAACCCCGTAATTTCCCCAGCCCCAGATCCCATACTTAATCCTAGCTGTGAAGGGCACTTTCCATATGAATTAACACTTAAGTGCGTATTAATGGTTATACCCTCCATATAAGTTAACATTTCCATACAAATTCCATTTACAGTTATGGGCCCTACATTAGGACCCGGCATCCTGGAAGGCACTATCCAGCCTACTATAATAACTATTTTTGTCTATTCAGATATTCAACTCAGAAAAATTCTTAAAAGTTCATGGATGGACATAAAGTAATCAGTATTGGACTATTCCTACCTTTTGGCTAATCCCATCCAAGTGATGATGTGCTATTACATCATCTTACTTTTTTTTTTTTTTTTTGTGGAACTGGGGATTGAACTCAGGCCCTTGCACTTGCCAGGGAAGCACTTATTCTACTGAGCCATCTCTCTGGCCCCTTCATCTTATATTCTGCCTCAGGGGTATTTGTTTACTCATCTTAGTCTAGATAGGACTTAGAGCAAGAGTTACAAACACATGCAACCTGGCAAGTTAATATAAATTTGAAATAGATAAGAGAAGATAAACAAAGAGAACAGAAAATGAAGCAAGGGGTGACTAGCTAGATTGATACGTGCTAGTGTATCTTTTTTCTGCTATTACCTGGAAAACAAATCATTGCCTTCTAAGCAAAGGGTGGAATTTTGGTACAAGACAGTGGCATGTTCTCCTCTCTTGCTTCTAGTCTCTTATAGCATGGGGATCAAATTATCCAAAGAAAACTTTGAGATTTTATACTGCATTTCATGCAATACAAGTGTAAACCTCAAATGATGGAAGGAAGCCTTTGTGCATTTTGATTTATGTTTTCGGTCAGTTTTAGTGCTATGCATGCTGTATTCAAAGCAGCCTCTTATAGTTTTGGGTTCTCCGTAGTTAAGCATTTAAAGTGGGCGCCGATGTATCCATTAGGTAGAGTCGGCCACTTGCAGCAAATCCCAAGCTATCTTTGCAGTTCCATTCTTCATCACCCCTCAGGCACAGCGGGAGAGGGCCTCAGGACTGGGCGGCTCGCTGTGA